ACTCTAAAACTTTGTCAATAATAGAATACCACCTTAAAATACCCATATATTATGGTCTATCTAAAATACACACAGCTAGCATTCCCATGCAACCCATTATGAGATTGGAAGCATTCCTTACTGACAGACAAAAGCCAAAGCAAAAACACCACTTCTTGGGACAATTAACCATTCATATTAAAATTTCATGTAACCTGATAAAAATATCTAATAATTATGACAAATAAACTCATGGCTATTATAGATGTCAGAATGCTTTTATACCAACATTCCTGTTGACATGTGAACAAATGCTTGAATTCTTAAAAAAAAAAAACAAAAAAAAACAAAAACAAAAAAAAAATACAGCCAATATAATAAAAAATAAACCTCTTCCTACCAATAGACAAAAATCATAAAAATATATTGATTTATCACAAACCAATATTATTTCACTTTTAACAATTTTTTAGAAGTAAAATTTCAGATTACTGATATAATGGCTCTTAGCAGAATTTTAGTTTGTTCTTAGAATTTCTTGAATTTGGTCCTTTCCAAAGTATTTTACCTAAATCCTCAACATTTTTCAAATATATAGGTGATGCTTTATTAATATATTCCTGCAAAACAATTTTACTTGATCTTGTAGATCAACTAAACAAGTCAAACATACGATAGAATTTACTGATGAAACAAACGGAAACAATCAATACATAACCTTTTCTTAATATCATGTTAAACTATAAAAGTAATGAACTAAAACCAAGTGTATCATAAATCTACTAATAAAAATCATCTCATAAATTTCTATTCACACGACAACAAAATAAAATGTGGAATAATTATCAGATTCTATTTAAGAGCACTTAAAATTTGTAGTACTCAATATTTACATGATAAAGAGAAAAGCATTGAAAATACTTTTAAGCTCCTCCAATATTGTACTTATTCTATATTTAGCACAAAACAAAAAGCTGATCAAATTTTTTAAAATAGGAGAATGAATGATATAAATATACTTAAAACTAGAGACATCATATTACCTACTATGTCACAGCTATAAGTGAAAAGAATTTAACTAAATTTACCATAAAATTTGTTACAACTACTTCTAAAGCAATAATAGGCAAAATAACAACCTAAAACTTGAAGCAGAAATTGACACTATCGTCTGTAACGATAGCCACAAAAAATACACAGAAGAGACTTTGAGAAACGTAAATAAAAGATTATATGAATAGAAAGATCTTTCAGAAAACAGCATACTCAATGTATTAATTGATCATTGTACAGTGACCATAATTTTGATTTACAAATCTTGCTTTAATTAAAGGAGAAAGTAATTCACAAAGGTAAGAAATATATAGAAAAATGCACTGATTTCTGAATCATCTAAGGTAAATTTGAGTCCAGGTTCTTACAACATTTCACCTTTCTTAACCAATCTCATGATGTCATAAAGTGAGATATTTAAAAAGAACAGTGATAAAAAAAAACAAAGCTTTGGGGAAAGCTGTGCATCTAAACACATTGGGTGCCAGAAATTTTAAGCCTTCCTACATCTTCAACATTTCCCCTCAATGCATAATTATAACTGAAGTTTATATCTCTACCTGCCCCCCTACATTATATATATATATATATATATATATATATATATATATATATATATATATATCAGAGAACAAATAAATAAAGCAATTTCCACACCTAGAGGAGACACCCTAATGTATAAAATTAAAAATAAATCCAGACGCATCCCTCTGGTAACCACTTTCAACACCAGTCTTACTCCACTATCTCACTTAATCAAGTCACAGGGAAATACTACATCTCAAACCAAACCTAAAAATTTTGTTTGAGGAACCTGGTCTTCTAGCATATCATAGACATAAGAACCTTAAGGAAATTATAGGTAGTAACCAAATTTCAGATAAGGTAACTAATTGAAATAATAAAACAAAAACATTAATATATAACCCAGTGTGTGTGAAAATTTAAATTTTTTTATATTTCTAATTGTTCAAAATACACACACATATATACATAGATACATATATAAGCCCATCATTAATTTAGTTGGATGAAACCCTTTTAGAGGATAACACATTACAGAAAATTTTTTCCACTTCATCATTCATTTTTTTTTTTTTTAAATCACTTCACCCCAAGTAAGGTGGGAATACCACTAGTACGCAGGGGGGGGGGGGGTTACAGGGAGTGAAAGTGAGAGAAAATAAAACATAGAGAGAGGATTGAGGGAAGGACAAAAGATGAATGGGATTCAAGAATATAGAAGATAATGATCGATGTTGCATTTAAATTTTTGAAGACTACATGTTTCCTTGATAATTACATATGGAAGGGAGTTCCACAGGCAGGAAGTGCAAGAAATGAAACTGTTGGAGTAGAATTAATATATATCATTATTAATATTATTTAGCTGTATCTTTCATTTCAGATGTTATAATGACGGAGACAAATATCAAGATTCTGAGAATTTTGAACCCTTATTCCACTTCAAAGCTGATAAAACCGACTGAAACAATATCCAACTGTACTGTAGAAAACTAGCTTAAAAGATGGTGATTTGCCCCTTGAAATGGACAACCATCAGCTGCTGAATATAAGAACCTGGTCACCAACTCTAGAAAACTTTTCAAAGAAAGATAACACATGTAGAGCATTATATAATCATAAAAAAAAAAAACTAAAGATAATAAAAATAAATAAAAACATGACCCCCCCACCCAAACAACACAAAGGAGCTCTGGAACATTTAAAAAAAAAAATGAAAATACTTTTAATACATCTTAACAGTTCAGTTGTAGATTCTGTTAGATCTAAAAAGGCACAAACCAGGTTATATGGACTATCCTTCACTAATTAATGAAAGTCAAATTTTTTAACAATTAAATCGGTCATCAATTTGAAAAAACTATCAGCAAAATCAAAATAGTAAATAAAAGTTACCAACAATTGTATTTATAAACAAAGTTTCAATGTGTTAGTTGAAACTTTGTTTAAAATGACAATTGGTGGTTAGTTTTCACTAGCAGATTAAATTGTCTTGTTTCTAAAATTGTAGTAAGTAAAATGCAACTAATGAATGACATTGTAATTTATTTGCATAAAAGACAAATCAAAATGGAATAAAATTCTGTCATGCATTTCGTCCTCTAGAAAGACTTCAGACTAAAGTAATATTTTTGTTGATGGAATTATAAATGTATAGAAGGGCGTATATATAAAACATGAGCATCAGTTACAGTTACATACAGAGAGGAAACAAACACTCAAAATGTGGGAACATTGAAATCTGATGAAATCCTTTTAGAGAACGAAACATGTCACATAGACAAATAAATGACAAAGTGGGAAAAATTTTTAACATTTGTTCTGAGATAAAAAAAAAAAATTATCTATCTTATTCCCTGATATTTGTCTGTTACACTATGAATCTCATTGTACTTATCAAATTTTACTAAAAACATTTGATACCTACATAGATCTCAGGTTGTCTTGTAAAATGCTGATGGGAGTTGGAGACACTGAGGTTCAGTTACACATGTTCCCTTGTAAAGAGATTGTGGGTGATAAATTATTTTCCACCCTACAACCCCTTTTTCCATAGATGAAACGTCTTGACCCTCTCGCTACTCAATTGCTATTTTCAAATGTTATGATGAGCTACATTTCTTAGTTCCACCAGTCCTGACCTTTGCAGCTAAGATCCATCATTTCATGTACACAGGGTGAGTAATCCTCATACCCTTTGGATTCCATCGAGTGAACCAGAAGAGAGAAAAAAAAAAGAAGACAGAGGGGAAAAAGAGAGAGAGAGAGAGAGAGAGGAAAGAGAAAGAAAATAGAGAAGAGAGAAAAAAGAAAGGAAAAATAAAAATAAAAGAAAATAGGAAAAGAGAGAAGAGAAGGAGAGAAGAGAGAATATAACTACTATATAGGTACTTAATTTGTATGCTTATGTATTAGTAATAAATACATGCAGGGGCTGCAAAAGTAACAATACAGTAAATATTATTATTATTGATGTGTTTTCAATACAATATGTTTTGTTATTGTATACCTACTTTTACATCCTGCTGTATATAAACAAGTATATAATGTGTAAGTAATGGTAAAAGAAGAGGAAAAGAATTAAAGATGGGTGTTTCTTGGTTGTTTTTAATGTGACTGTTTTGACACTCAAACTTTCACTTAATTACAACCCTTCAGTCTAGCAAGAGACTGACAAAATCATTAAGTGAGGGTCTCTTAGCTTAAGGGTTTTTTTTTTAAATTGTTAATTTAGGTAAAAGTGTAACAGGTTCTAAGAATGGATATGCAATTATACTGACCTTTTTTAAGATTTTTTTTTTTCCTTAAATATTAAAAGAGAAAAGTTTCTCAACTCCTTTAAAGATTTGCATATAAAGAAAAGTTATTGAGAATTTTGAAATCAAACACAGTCTTCACGTTATCAAGAATTTAGAGTCCATGATTTTATAATGTAATGACTCCAATAGCAAAACATTTAAATGACAATACTGCTAAGATCTATTCCATGGACAATACTTGTTATCCCACATAGGGATTGAACTTACATCCTCCAGGTAATAAAAAGGATAATATTTTGTTGGATTAACCTAGTTCAGATGTGTTCAAGTTGATCAATTTAAGCTAGTTGTTTTTCTCAAGAATGGGGAGACTCAGTTTCCTGGTGAATTTTTGTCAGAGTAATTCAGGACTGAACAAACTTTCTGCTACCTGGATAATATCCCTAAAATAATTTGACAAATACATTAATACTGGTGTTTATTTTATAAGAGGGAATGCTGAAAAGTTCTCAGTCCAACCAATTTCCCAAAATTAGTATTTTAATGACTAAAGAAATAGCCATTTAGTAATGAAAAATGGTTTTATTGTGAGAATCCAAAACAGAAAAATCAAGACAAGCCCTATGTCTGAATTTCTGGGATGAAATGTTATTTATATTAATGTAAATAAGTCAACTCAAACATGGCCACATCACAGTGAAATACTGGTTACTGTACAATCCCCAAAGTTAAGCAACATTGTGCCTGGTTAGTACCTAGATGGGTGACCACTTGAGAATACCAGGTGTTGTAGACTTGGATGTGCAGGTGGTGTAATATATAATGGCTCAGAATTGTTAATTCAAGAGCAGAGTTCCAATTCTAGTTGTGTTTGCTGTATTCACTTATGTGCAAACACAACTAGAATTGGACCTCTGCAAATACTTTTGGGAAGGTATGTATCCACCTCTTACCCTGGCTATGGGTTAATTATTAAAACTGGTATCACTAAAAACATTGTTCCCCCCACCCCCCAAAAAATAAAGTAAATTCTGTACAAAATAATTAGATTTCAGCATTAAATAACTCATAGAGGTTGATATGCCGCTAAACAAAAACAATCAACTCAAGCACATTTTACTATGGAAAAATTTTTTTCTTTGTGTGGTGGGATTCAAAATGAATTCTTTATTATAAATTGCTAGAACCTCGATAAAACTATTGTACAACACCAAAATGAGCAACTGGTTTGTTGGAATAATGCACTGAAAAATACTGAAGTTTTTTTTGGTAAGGAAGTCAACCAGTGATTTTACTGCATAATGTTACCTGTTATTATTTTGCAAATGCAATATCATCAATCATACTGGCCATAGCAGCATTTTCCGATTAATCTATCTTTACACTCGGTTGTCCTTTTTATTACATCACAGAAATTTCGTCTCTGGTTTAAGAATCAGTTATTTTAGAGTCTAAGAGAAAGAATTTAAATAATATTCCAATAGTTTTTCATTCATTTACTTTTTGCCAATCTTTATTGTGAGGAATTCACACTTACAAACCAATTAATTGGTGCTACCTTATTCTACATGTGGTGCAATCTAGCCTCTCACTTTCAAACATGTTCTGTTTCATGCAACACTTGTTTGGTCAAGCAGTTCCAATGAGTTGCAAAATCTTTCAAAGAATTCATTGGAACAAAACTGGAAGCATTCTTTTATCATTTTAACACACAATTTTAACTGAAAGTTGTTCTAAGGCCATAGAAAGCAAATAGGAAATACTTTGATGACTGGATAATGATGCTATGAATTTATATGGATAAAACATTTTGTGAAGAAAATACTTGGAACTTATGTATTAACCCTATAGAATACAAACTTTAGCTGAATGGTATCCGAGTCGTAAGAAAACCCAAATATAATACTTTAATGGCTGAATAATGATTCTATGAATTTATATGCCTAAAACATTTTGTCAAAAGATTCTGGGAACTTTTGCATTGACATAATGTACTGAAATACAAATTTCAGCTGAAAGTTGTTTTAGAAAAAATAGAAAAGCCAGGGAAAATACTTTGAATAATGAGCTATGAATTTTTATACATAAAAAGTTTTGTACATTTTCTGTACAAAACTTTTTGAGACAATCTAATATGGTGGAGTACTACATTCAACTAAAAGAAGTTAAAAGAAAACTGTTATTAAATCAAAGATGGCCTTTAACATCTCAACCTAAACTGAATCTAGAAGAGGGTGGGGGTCATTTTGAGTGGTGGGTTCAAATAAAATTATTTTTTTAAAAAGCTGATCCCTAGATAAACTGTCACTATGCCACACTAAAGTGAGGAGTTGGCTTATCTGAATAATAGAAATGACATATTTTCTCAAGCAAGAAAGTCAACTGAAGATTTTACTACATGAAGATACCGATCATCATGTAGCAAATGATTATGGGATGGAATGGGAAATTCTTTCATATATGTTGAAAAGTTCTCAACCCAATCCACTTCTCAGAATCTGACCAAATAACAAAATTTCAGAATTTCAGATTCTCTTTTTGATTGGACAAAAGATATTTCAGCATTTTTGTATTTAACAAAATAAACATTACTAGCAGTAACAGTGAAAATTTAACAGTTTTCATATTTGAATTTTCTGATGAACTGAAAATATTAATGATTGAATAAGCTCCTTCGGAGTTCTACAACTATGAAATACCCATGGAAATTCCACTATTGTTAAAAATTTGAATGTAACAACTTTAACAAAATAATGCTGTAGCTATCAAAATTCTGAACACTGGTCATTAAAGAAGTAAGAGGGTACAAATGAAAAGATTAAAAATGGATAAGGTTTTCTATTTCATTGAAGCAGGTGTTAAATTGTGGGAAAATGAAATAAAACCAATAAATAAATGAATAATAAAGAATAGAAAAATAAATTCATTTTCCCATGATGCCAGTTATAAAGAAGGCAGAAAGGGTTTCTGGTCACATGTGTGATTTAAAGACCCCACTTCCAGAAAGGACAGAATCTTTCTCTTTTCACCTTCCAATGAAATTATTCAGACATGTTTTCAGCAGACCTACTCATGAAGTAGAGATTTGGCCTTCCCAATTCAGTGCGAGGCTGACGAGCTTGACCAGCTTTACTCATTTGTATTCTTACTTGTCATACATTATTTCAGAATCAAAAAGGAAAATGGAAATACTCAAGAGACATTTAACTTTGTTTCAATACAGTCAACATTAAATATAATAATATTGCCCCCCCACACCAATAAAATCTCTAGTATGATACATTTTGCAGTATTACAATAAAGAAACCCTTTGACAAAAAATTGAAACCATTTTGATACATTTGTTATATTTTGCATAGGAAATGCTCTTAGATTACACACTTCTAAAATCATTTTCAAAATTAAATTCCCACCCAAGTATTATCCTCTTCTTTCTCTATGATGATTTGGGATATTTCACTTCATAAATGTTCCAATTTTAATACTGCAACAAGTTGTAATAGGCTAGCAACAAAATGCAATCATGTTGAATAAATAATTCTTGTACATTTTGTAAAATTGGGGTGAATTGTGTCATGGTGCTATTTTTCTCACAGAGTTTGCTGAAATAACCCTACTATATTGTGCAGGTGACAAAAATCAAGAACAATGTGCATGAATGAAATTAAAAAATAGCGACAATTTACCCATCGCATCCTGTATATTACTTGAGGATAAAATTGATCATTAAACAGGCATTAAAATATTTTTTAAATAATTCCAATACAAATAAATAACATTCATTTAATGAAACTAAAATTGTTGCTATCCCCTCTATATTATTTATAACTGATTCTAAAAGGTGCTGATTATACATTATTAAGACTAAATATGCAACATACAATCTTTCTTGTAAAAGGAGAAAAAGAAAGTTAAAAGATGACAAACTAAATACAAAAATAAAGATTTTGTTCTTGTAGAGACAGTGAGTTTTAGAACCAATCAATGCACAGAATGTAAGAAAGGCAAAAATGATAGTGAAAGTTGAATTAATTTCCGTCCATCAGTTTCTTTGTCAGTATCAAAAGAAAAAGTTAAAAATCACCAATATTCTTAACCAATGAAATGCAAGCAGACAACAGTGTGTGTCAGTCTTCTGTTGGGCATCAGAATTCCAATGCTATTGATAGTCTTTGATTAGATTGCTTAGGAAGGAGAATCTTTAATCACTCACTTCTGAAAATGGTCAATCGATTATCACAAGAAGTCAGGTCTTCCTCTCACTTCAATCTTCATTACTTTCACCTGTCTTGGTTTCCAGCTGCTCATGCTTGTGCATGTCTTCTGTGGCTACATTTCAATGGAATTTGAGAAATATAAATAAAAATACCAAGAGTGGAAGAGGGTATTTTTTTTATTCACTTTTCTCTTGTGAATTCTTTTTTTTTTTTTCTTTCCTATCAATTTCTTTCTTTCTTTATTCCTGTAAAATTTGCTCCTCTACATTTCCCATTTCATTATTCAAATCCTTTCCATTTTTTGTCCATTTTCTACTCATCCTATCATTCATTCTTTTACTTCCTACATCTCTTCTCTCACTGAACACATATCTCATATCTTACATAACTTAAATCCTTTTTGTCATAATATATTCTTTTTCTCTTTTAAAACTAACAAATTCATTTATTAAACTTGGGCCAGTTTCTTTCTACTGATCCATTCTTACTTTAGTGTAGGGATCAGTTAGAACAAATTTAGTATAAGTAACGAGAAAATGGACCATAGAAGAGGCTGTGCTAGAAGTAGTTTTGCCCAAGACTGCACATTGCTACAAAATTAAAACATTAACCTGAAAAACTCTAGGCATGTTCTTAAATAGCCTTGTCAGATTGAGGCTTTTATATGGATATAGTGCATAGCGCCAAACCCATTCAGAAAAATCTATACTGTCAGCTGTATATAACCGCTTTCTAAGATCAACAGTTAAAAATGGCTTTGAGTGAGTAAAGCCTGTAGATCTTGGTGGAGACCATAATTGTGGACTGGCACGGCAGATTTAAAAAGAACTGTACCAGATAAAAGAAACTACATAACTTGTGGATTAAAATGGATAGCATGTGTAACTGGAAGAGAAAATAATGATATAATCAAGATGTTGACATTCCATGCTACTTCAAATAAAATTAGGTACCTCTATGAAATGTAAACAAAAAGAGCATAGCATGATGAAAAAGATTCCGAACTTGACGAAAACAAAATTTTATCGTCTAATGTTCATATTATTATTAAAGAGGAAAGATCAAAGTATTTTGGGGGTATTTTTTACATTTTTTTAATCATTCCTAGCACGTCCGAAATTTTCATTAAAAAAAAAAAAAAAAAAAAAAAAAAAAAAGGAGAAATAATCCATCATTTTCAATCATTTTTTCCATTTTATAAAAAAGATGAAAATCTCACTTTCACATTCTTTTAAAAATCAATTATCATTTTTTCAAAACTTACTTTAATAGAATCAAAAATTATAATGTTTATTTAAAATATTTTGAACCAAGCTTAACTTAGCTTAGCTTAGCTTTTGCGCCGAAAAAATGTAATTTGAAAATAAAACAAAGCAGGTCATAACCTTTCGCGTCACTTGACAGGTGACGAAAGACATTTTCATGACGTTTAGATAACTTACGGGAGGATAATTCTTTCTACGGATGGAAGGAAGTGAAATTATTTAGATTTAAGTGAACAAATTATTTACCTCGTTACTCTTAAAGAAAACTTTCAGCGCTTTAATTTTTTTTTTTTTGTACTTAGCTTTCATCT